TGCAGCAGCAGCGATGCGGATTGGATGGGAGGAAGGTGAGCGGCCATGCTGACCGCCCTGAGTAATGAACTAACGAAGGCCCACACACAGTGCACTATGCAAAGCAGGGGCCGGTGGCCTCCCGGGCTTCTGGACCCAGGTTCTGCAGGCGTCTGAAAGAGACCCGTGTGGGAATGCTGAATCACCTTTGCCCGCTGCCAACGGCACCATCGGTGCTACAAAGGAAAACCTGGTTTAGAACAGTATCGTCTGACATCACATCACAGTGAGTTTGAGCTTTGAACTTTATTGGCCTCACACATTTCCGCCTCCAATCTATTCATTCACTCTGGCTTTATGGTTTAGAAAAGATGTAAAATTTTATGGACCAATTTTATCACTGGGCCCATGTAACTGCACTGTGAATTATAAATATATAATCACACTACATTCAAACATACTATAGGCCATGTAGCTGTAATATGCAAGTCTAATATGATCACATTATACATAATGTAATTATTATCGATTACCATAACATAATAAAAATAATGTAAGTCAACACTGGTATGTGCTTGATAGCATTTTTCAGTCTGAAAAGGCTTCCTCGGTGGTCCTAGGGTAAAGGATGGGCAGGGGGGTGGGGTGAGTGGAGGAGAGGAAGGACCCAGAGGACAGGGGAGTGTGTGGGGAGCTGGGGGAGGCCCCAGGAAAGGAGGCCTGTGCCCTGTCCAGGGTCCTGACAGCTACAGAGCCCCACTCCCGCCCCTTGTGGTCTCGGCCCAGGACAGCCGGCCAGATCACAGGGTGCAGAGAAACCGCTGCCACTCGGAGAACCTGGGTTAGAGGCCTAACCCTAACGTTTACCAAATGTGATCTGGGGCAAACTGTCTAACCCTTCTGAGCACTCTCGGCGATCTAAATGAGATAATTACACAAACGCACTTTGAAAACTGTGAAGGGCAATTGGAATGTGAGAGTATGTCACGCAAATCAAAGGCCTGCTCTGAAACCACTGCTTCTGGTCACTCTGGGTGGGGCATGAGAGACAAACCAAACCTCCACGTTCCCTCCTACAGTCAGAAAAGTCTGCAGACTTGCACTTGACTTAACTCAAACGCATCCACTCTATTCCTGATCCACTGGATAGTCAGGCATCGTACATACACCAACAGTGTAATGACAGGGCTGCACAGTGTGCTGTTTAAAAGCCATTCTTCTAGAGGGCCAGTGACACTGCCCTCTACAGCTAAGATGCTGAACAACAGCTCAACCTGGAGCTGGGCTGCCATGAGTCACTGGCGATGGCGTGGGCTGCAGCCCCTGCTGCAGTGGNGTTTTTGTTTTTGTTTTTTTGGTTTTTTAGCTGAGCCATCCTGCTACCTGTTGGCAGCTCAGCGGCTGCTCAGCTCGGGCCGGGACTTGAACCACTGTTGCTCAGAGCTCAAACTCTTGAGCGAGCTCTTAACCAACTGAGCCACTCGGCCAGCCCTACAAAGTCATGTTTTTCAGCTGCAGGAGTCCTTTCTGTGTGAGACACTTTATGTACAGGGTGTTAGTTGAACCTGACAATTTCTGTGGCACCAGAAGACAGGAAGGCCCCACTCGGTACTCCTAAGTAGCACAGGATTACGGCGATGCTGTTAGTAAGGTCTTACAGGGGGCTGGCTTGCAGAACTATCTTAACGCCATTATGCTGCAGCGTGATGTGAACTTAGAAACAAGTCAAATGCTCCAGGTGAAAATGACATCGCGTGACTATTTGAACAAAACTATACTCACACTTGAACCTCAACACCAGGGGTGCTGGTTTGCTGAAAGCCATCACTTCTCATGTTCTATCTAGTCAAGAAAATGAGGCTCGGGAGAAGTGTTTGAAATCCCCACATACTGATCACAAAGCAGCCGGCATCAGCTTTCTGAGACCGAAGTCAGATCTTGCGCTCCCTGACTGAAACCTCCTGTGGTGTCCACGGAAATTAGAATAAACTGAACTGGCTTAGCCTGCAAGGTTCTGCAGCATCTGGCCCCACAAACTCTCTGATATGGCCCGGTACTCTGTTGTCACCATTCACCATGCTTGGGCCACCCTGGTCATCTTCTTGTCCCTTAAGCCAAGCTCACTGCCACCCCAGGGCCTTTGCACGTGCTGTTCCCACTGCCAGCACATCCCCACCCACCTCCACTCCACTCCCGGTCTTTGCAGGTGTGGCTCCAGCAGCTGCCTCTGCCCGGGGCTCTGGACGTCTTGTCCCACGAGAACAATAACGCCACTGATGTTTACAGCACCGAGCTCTGAGCCCTGCTCCACGCAGCTGATGAGCCCAGAGGGGAGCGTCCTCTCTAATCTGGTAGCAGCTGATCCCAACAGGAAACAGAACTGATGCCTCCAAATATAACACTCTCAATGTCAGCTCACGTGGGCCACGCGTGGGGCTGGCATCTCGGAGCCTTTGCTCCACTGCCCAGCTGGCCTTTCCAGCCCCGACGGTGCCAGGAGCCTGGGTGGGGAAGCCCACTGGCTTACAAGTCCCCTGGTCCCCCTGCTGCCTGCTGTCGGAGCTCCACGCTGGTCATTTTCATAAACAGAGAACGCTCCCAGACAGCCACCCATGTCCCTGTCACAGAGGCACGTGCACTAGAAAATTCTCCTCGGAACGAGTCCGATCATTCTCCTACTAAAGGAGGAAAGGTCTCGGCATAGCAAAAGGACATGAGGGATTTTCACTAAGACAGTTAAACTGCCCCCTCCAAAAAGGAAAAACGAAAAGGTCACATATGTCCAAGTGAAGGGCCAGACAGGTCCTCCTTTGTCGTGATGTAATGGAACATTAGGAACAGTTCACTCTTACAAGATTTTGGTTGGTGACTAAGGAGAACTAGACATCACAGTGGTCATTTGTCACTGGACGCAGAGCTCTGGCCAGCAGCTGAGAGCTCATAGGTCACAGGCTCACAGGGCACAGGATTCATGAGCGACACAGGACCTGGCTCAGGAATTCTGGGTACCACCGGGTTTTGCATGCTGCCCGAGACCTTGTCACCGCACAGACACAGCAGTGCGATAACAAGCTGGGGCACCAGTCACTCGAGTCATTTCTGTGTCAAAATACAGGTTTTGGCAGCAGCAATGGTGGCACCAAGTGGAAAAAGAGCTTATAACATTTGGCAACAGGTAAGTCAGTGAAAAAGTGTCCCTGAACTCTGATCTGTTACAGGAGCCCAGTTTGGGGGAGTTTAACGGGCCCCTTCGAACCCAGTTGAGGAAGCAATTCAAATTATTTTTTTGAAATCTGTAAAAAGGTGGGTGTGCAGGCTGGAAGGGCACTGGGCACTTCCTGTGCACGTGTCCTGCATCCAGCAGCTGTTTCCTTCCACAGGGCCACCTGTGCAGCGGGTCCAGCCCAATACCAGGCGGCCCCATCTCTGACTCTGCGGATAGCAGGCAGTCGCTGCTGGGCAGGCTTTGGGATGGACCTGGGCAACGCCTCTCTTGCACCTGTAATTAACAGCGCTGATCATTAATTCTACCCTGTCAGCATCAGGGAATTCCCAGCTGTGTCCCGGGAACCAGGAGGGTTCCCTGGGTTTCTGCAGGTCCCGTGGACAGGCCACCCCAGGATTCTGGGGCTGTGCTGAATTGACTGCTCTCATTGGCAGCACTCATCATCCTTGCTGCCCCTCCTACGGCCCCTGGTTACCTTGGGACACAGGTAGCTCAGCCCCAGGAATGGTCTGTTTCCCACGGTGACTCTTCCACAGTGACAAAGCTGGCAGAGAGGTAGGACAGAGCTGCGTGCCCCACCCGTCTCCCAGCCTCCTCTCCGAAAACTGCTCCACCCTGGTCTGCTGGTGGGTGACCGGCGCCCTTACACACCCGCAGAGCTGCAGGGAGGTGGGCTCCTTCCTGTGCCTGAAGCCTGTTTAAAAGGCCAGGTGAAGAGGTGGCAGGAGAGGTCCCCCACAATAAGGGAAAAATTCATGTGGGCTTTTGTGACAACCCTAGGGGCGCATGTTCCCATCAACACAGCCAGAAAGCCAGATCCCAGGTCCGGGCAAGGAGCCAGTCGCGCAGTGATGCCTAAAGGCTGTCCGCCCCGCGCTGACCAGCCCTGCCGCACAGAGGCTGCCTCTGCGAAGCTGGAGCCACCTGTCAGGTGCGGGCACCCCGCTCAGGAGCAGGCAGGACTGTTGTGAGAAGACAGCTGCCTGCCCAACCCTCCCTGCGTCTAGCTCCCACGTCACATGCCTGGAACGCCAGCATCATCCTACACTTCCGTTTCTGTTCAAATAAAAACACTCCCAAACTCATCCTGTGCTCACACCGCAGCGTGAGTGAGTGAGCCAGGGCCTCTCCTGACAGCAGGCCTGCCCAGGAAAGGGCAGGACAGGGCGGGGGCCGCGGGAACACGGGGGGAAAGGGCACTGAATGCCGAGCTGGGGATGTACCAAGAACACAACTTCTTTTTAAAATGTGATAAAATATATGACATGTAACTTCCTATCTTAACCATTTTAAGTGCACATTCAGTGGCACTAGGCACTCACGCCGTTGTGTGACCACCCCACCCCACCCCTAGAACGCTGTCACCTTCCCGAACTGACCCCCAGCCCCTGGCTCCACCATCTACTCTGTCTCCATGAATGTGATCGTTCTGGTCCCTGACGTAAGCACAATCACGCAGTATCTGTCCTCTTGTGGCTGGTTCGCTTCACGCTCCGTGATGTCCTCATGTCCGTCCATGTCGCAGCAAGTGTCAGCATTTCCTTCTTTCCTAGGCTGACCACATTCCATCGCATGGACAGACCACATCGTGTTTATCCGCTCGTCCACTGGTGGACACTCAGGTGGCCCCCACCCTTTAACTACTGTGACGCCGCTGTGAACATGGGGGTGCAATGTCTCTTCAGAACCCTGCTTTCTGTCCCTCTGGATCCATCCCCAGGAGCACAGCCGCTGGGCCACACGACCCCTCCCTGCCCCTCTGCCCCCCGGTGTCCTGTTAATGGTGCTGAGTTACCTTGTCCAGCTGCCAGGCCCTTGCGGGAAGGCCTGCATACTGGGGTCTCAGGCGACACGGTCCCTGGGTGGCACGCTCCTGTTCATCCTCCTAGGACAGAGGAAAGGGAGTTGTGAGATGACCCCAGCTCTCTGTGTCCTGGTCGAGCACAGGGGTTAAGAGTCTGAGCCGAAATTAGACCTGGGATGGGGCATGACTGCAACTCACAAGCCCTGTGCTATGGGACCGTTTCTTTCTCGTTTTTTTCTCCTTTCGGAGCTGTAAGTTTCTACTCTATGAAGTGTAATGGTACTTTACAAGGATGGTCTAATGATGTAATAAAATGGGGGTAACGGTACTTTACAGTG